AATAGTGATTTCCTCAGGAATTTATTGTGGATGTCCCCACAGGCTCATTTCATTGTCCCTGCTAGATGCTCCCAAAGTACCTTTTATTTCCTCTTGTGAGATGAATTTTCTGATGGATTATATCAATTTATGAATGCATATCTGTGTGCATGCTATTTCCACTGCCTAGAATATCCTCCTATACCTCAGTTTGCTCTTCATCTCTTTGATAATTAACTACATTCCCTTCAGTAATAAAGAGATAAGATATGGATTGCCTCTTTTGCAGTTTTCTTTGATGCTCCCATGTAAATGTCTTTCTTTCTGATCCTGTAACTATCACATTTTGGACTTCCCTATATTAAGTGTTGTTTTTTTTTATTATAGTGCTACTAAATGTGCACTTGTCTCTTTAACTACTGGAGTATAAGGTCATTAAGAGTATGACCTGTGTCTTACTTGTCTTTGTAGCTATACACATATCCCAGAGCATTAAACATGATAAGTACTTATAAATGTATCAAATAAATGATTCAAGTCAGTCCATTTTTTTATCTATTAGCTATTCAGATAGCTAGTGGGAATTTTTATATTCTACTATGTATTGTGCAGAATTTATATGTAATATGTATAAAGAATCATATTATTAACATGTTCATCCATATACTTATCACTAAATATGATGTCATTAATAAAGTTCCATATATGTCCACACTTGAGTAATAGAAATTAGAAATTTGTGTATGGATCTTGGATTGGGTTCTGTTAATCATTTTATTATGTGTGATGATGAAGTTAGCAGCAAGTAATGAGCTTTGGCCTGCATTTTTATAGTTGTCCTGAGGTCCAAAGATGAGACAAGGCAAAGCTTCTTTATCAACTGTCCTAGTTACATATCCATGTAACACTTCACTAGATTTTTCTAGGTAGTTGTCCTTCTGTAGCTTTCCCATAAAAATCCAGATAAGAATTCTGAGGACCAAAATAATATGGATGCTGCAGAATAATATTTTCCAAAAAATTCTAAGCATCCTGCAGACCTTTTCCAATATATGCTTGTCATGTGCATTTAAGAAGGCAGCTACAAACATCAGAATGAAGGACTGGAGAAATAAGACCAAGAGTTGCTAAAGGTCATTAGATGAATCAATTGTAGGGCCATAAAAAGAGCCAAGCCTTTATCTTGCCGCCTAGATTGCCCTCCAGAGTCACCTTCCTAGATCCATGGTGAACTCTCTACTGTGTAGGACAAACAACAGTTTTGCCTTGCTTCTGTACTTCTGTACATCCTCTATTCTGTATTTCAAAATAAGTACAAAGGCATTCCATAAAGATTCTCGGATCATCTAATCTCAGTTTCTTGTCCAATTCAGACTAAAATGGAGGGCTCAGTGATTATCATCTTGATATTCATTCAACTCTATTTTCAGGTGACTAATCAATTTCTCTGCTTCATTCATCCTCTGCCCTCCTTGATCTAAATATTCATCTTTTTTTTCCTTCAAATTTCAATATTCTAGGGGCTGGGGCTGGGGCTGGGGCTCAGTGGTAGCACACTTGCCTGGTGTGTATGAGGCACTGGGTTGGATTCTCAACACTGCATACGAAGGTCTATCAACAACTAAAAAATATTTTTAAAATTTTTTTTAAAATTTCAGTATTCTAATGCTCTCCTCACTTTTTGGAAACTCCAGAACTGAAATGTATCTTCTATCTTCTCTTTCATTATTCAGTTTTGCCTCTATTCTGTTTTCTTTATTCATTCACTATTCTTCCTCCTCTAGTATTCTCCATCTCTAATGTGTTCAATTTCTTTATTGCCCATTGCTATCTTCTCTATGTTCTCTTCCATTTGCTTTCTCTTCATTTATCCATCCACATTTCTTCCTCATCGTTTCAACCCTCCATCCACCTCCTTCCATGATCTCTCTTCTGTTTACAACTATTCTATTCTATTCTTTCCACAATTGTGTGAACTCCTAGGTCCTCTTCAATCTGTTCCCCTTTGCTCATTTAGTACAAGAATGTCTCTCTTCCATCTATTCTCTACCATTGCTCTATTCTCTCCAAATTCTTCTTCATACATTATATCCATTCATATCTCTCTACTGCCTATCTTTCCCACCTTCTTTTCAACATTTATGTCCTTTCATACAGTGTGATCATTCTCACCTTTTTGAAACTCTTTGAACCTTTGATATATCAGCCAAGATGTGTTAGATGAGTATGCAATAAGAAGCATTTCTAAAACCTCAGAGCCTTAAAGCAACAAATGTTCATTTCTAATTCACATTGTTTATCTGTGGTTTGGGAAGAAACTTGCTTCTATGTCAACCTCAATTAGGAACAGGAACATAGAATGATGGATCCAAAACCATCTGGAATAATGTGTATCACTATGATGAGGAAAGGCAACATGGCATATCATGCACTGGTTCTGAAAGGCTTCCTCTGTCCCTTAGAATTAACATGTGCCATTTATTTACACTCATTAGATTAACCCAAATGAGTCATTTGTTTCTGCCCAACTTTAAGGTACAAGGGGAATATAATACTACCATGTATCCAGAAGGAGGAGAATAGGGACAATTTGCCAAGTGGCAGTATTGACCACCATGCTTACCTTTCAAGATAGAGCACACTATTGATTCTATTAACATTTCCCTCACTTGTCCTTCTGGATCTCCTTTACAGGTCCCTCTTTTTCCCCCTCTGCCTTAATGATAGTAGTGTTTTATGATTGGATCCTTGGTCTGTATTTACTGCCTATTTTCTCAATTTATCATCCCTTCTGCATTCCGATCTATTTATCTGAAATAGAAATTCAAAGCTTCTTATCCAGATGATTTTGGCCATTTCCTAACCATTTTCCCTAATTTTCATCTTCACATACATTTTTTACACAGTAACTACATTGTCATATATTAAATTTAAAAAATCACCACCTCATTCTCTTATCTAAAATGTCTTCCATTCACTGCAATTGTACACTTGGCTTTCTGTCTAGAATACCCATCCTCTCTGCCCTCTGCTCCTACCTATAATATATTTGATTATATTCCACATATGTAATAATATAAAAATTAATACCAATAACCCGGAACCTAGGAGCTGCCTAACCAAAAGACTCTTTTCTCAACCTGTCTCAGGAGAATAAATTAGACAACTCTCCTCTCTCTTCCAATAATTGTGTGTGTGTGTATATATATATATATATATATATATATATATATATATCTTTAGCATTTTAGTTAATATTATTTGTGATTATCTAATTAATGTTTCACCCTTATTATATTGTGATGGTCAAAAGGACAGAGACCATCTGTAATTAATGTTTGTATACCCATAACTTAGTCCAGGGCCATGTATGTATTAGAAAGTCAAACCTGTTTGGTAAATGAACAAATTGAATTAAGACTTGTCTTTCTTGCACCCATGATTTCCTTCCCTTTTGTTCATCTCCTTCAGTGTTTCTTCCCCTACTCCTCTATGTCTTTTCTTCTTTTTTTTCTCATATATTATATCCTCTTCATCAAGTTTTCCCATCCTTTTATGGCATCCTAATACTTAGTCTCTTTATTTTCCTCCATCTTCTCCATTATCTTCTCAGCTTTTCTACTCTTTTCTCTCCTTTCTCACATTCTCTCTTTCTCTATCTTCATATCTCTCTCTTCATTCTCTCTATATATGATATGTATGTTATATGTCATATATATATTCACACACATACATATGTAATATGTATTCATAATATATATAAAATCTGGAGAAAATGTACATAATTAGTCTTCCCTTCCCCTCTCCTTCTCTATCCAATTCATATCCATTTTTCTTCTTTTCTCTAGAATTTCTCCTCTACCATATGTCCATTTTTCCTCTACTCTCTCATTTCTTCCTCTCTCCTTCAACTTTTAAGTATTCATCTTTTATCCTTTGTTCCTAAGCCATTTTCCTGTCTCCCAAATTCTTGTAGGAAAACATCAGTAAATAACAAATTGGAAGTAATGAGGGATATAATTCATATATTCACCAGCCATGCATTGAGTTTCATTGTGCAAAATAATAAATCCATAGATTTAAAATAGCCCTAGAAACTGCACGGAATGATTGCATTTATCTATTCAATAAAGGTTCACTCAGTTACACAAAATGAACACACATTAATGTGGGAGGAAGCTTCAAGGAGTGACAAATGACAGCATAAGAGCTATCAAAAGAATAAAAAACACACACAAAAACCAAAAACCAAAAACCAAAAATTTTCTTTTAGTATTGGAGCAAAAAATCTTATTGTATTGCAAGTGCTCTCAAAGATATTCTTTTGACAGTGAAATTCAATATCTAGTAACTCTAAGGACAATAATGAGTCATGAAATACATAAAATTATGATGGCTCCTATGTATTGGGTGGTAAAAATGTATAAAACATATTTTATATTTTATGAAGATTTCACTAAGCTACAATCTGAAGTGTTTGGAAACTTCATTTATATAAAATTCTTTGGCATCTCCAGGTAATGTGACATAAAATAAGTATCGCAGTATTTTTTATTTGTATATATAAAACATAATGTTTCAGAAAATATCTATCATCTCATCTGAGTCTCACAAGTCTGTTTCATAAGGGTATTTTTTCCCTAGTCAAACTTAGCATATTCTAATGATCAGTATGTTCACACCTATATATATATTTTTATAAGTTTATGAAACTTAGTGTCCTTAAATATGAATGTGCCTGTGTATTAGGTCACATGTGTCTTTGAGTATGCATACATTTATAAAATACACATATATCTCTGTCTCATATTATTTATATGCGCAGCTACCTATTTATATGTGTATACAGAGTATGTATGCATACAAGCAAATATGTTAAGAAGTGTGCATGTATATATACATATGTGTGTATTCATTTCTAATCTGTAAATTTGAAATAATTATGGATACCCTAAAATGTGCTGCTTACAACCCCAATCCTATCCACAATATATTCTAGTTAGGAGCAATCATTCTCTCACCTCATTGTATAGAGAAGGGTTCCATTGTCTACCAGTCTGAGCAGCTTGTTCGGTGTGGTCATATTATGAGCCACTGATTTCTTGCCATTATGAAAGAAGGTGTCAGGAGTCCAGATCTTACTAGCCAGGAGATTGTTCAGTGGAAGGATCTTCATGGGTCCATCAAATTTCAGTCTCTCATCATGCCATGTCTGTCTAAAAAATACATCAATGGTGTACTCCTAGGGATAGAAAAGAGAGAAAATATTTTTTTTTTCAGAAGAGTCTTGATGAGGACCAGCAGTGCCCTCAGCAAGTATTAATTACATCTTCTGATGTAGAAGAACATCAGTCTACTAACAGTGGTTATTGAATGGTTACTGATAAGTCAGGTAAATGATTATGGCTGAAAAATAATGCCATAGGGATTGTGAGTATAGTGATAATATATCTGATGAGGCTTTTATTAGAAATAGCAGTACTAATACTATTTTACACATCACACAAGCTGACTACAAGACTTTTCTTATGAAAAGGCAAGCACTTTCTTGTTTTAATAGAAGAAATTCCTAACCTTGTCTTTACTCTAGGAAGATACCATATAAACATCTAAGGCCAATATAACAATAACCATAAAAACAAACTTTGTACTTTAACACATATTTCATCAAAGCCTCAAAGTAACAATATGTCAGATGGGTTAAAACCTTATCTTCAATAGGCAATTAAATCTCATATATAAATAAAATAGAAATAAATGCACATATAGAAAAATGGGTAAGTGAACAGAAAATTAAATAAATGGATAAAAATTCTTATCAAAAATTAAAAATGTTCAAATTTCCTATTAATCAAAATATAAGTTAAAACAAGTATAAGTGTTCAAGCTTTTGATAATAGTAGAAAAAATTGTTTGAGCACATCTTTCCATTGCTATCAATGATTAAATCTGAACAACAACTGTATATTACGTGAAAGCAATGGGGAATGATTGAAAGCAGACAGACAAAAATGAGTATATACTTGGAAGATGGTAATAGCCATGGATTCAATTTGTAAATTAGTAATTTTTCTTTCTTGTAGGTAATTCCCCAAGCCTAGCACTCCTCTGACATGTATGACAAATAGCCTTCCTAACTCAAGGTGGCAGGAAATCTGGAATATTAGGGATGAGAGTACTAGAAGCAAGAAAATCACTGAAATGATGGACATCCAAATCTCAGTATATTCTCTGCTTCAAGTCCCAGCTGACCACCATACAACATACAAATAGAGGCAACTATGGGACCCAGAAAAATCAGGCACAAATAATTGAGTAGTAGTCCACTAAATAAAAGAACTGTATTGGATGTTGCTTGTGAGTTTGCTGCTTTTTAGGCTGAAGAAATTCCTCAATCCATCACTATTCACATGGCAGAAGTCTGAAAACTTATTATTTTTATGTATCAGAGGAAATGTTCAGGACTGAAGGATGTGCTAAAATGCTTGGAGAGTTTCTGTAAGCCAGAGAACCACTGAGAAGGAGAGTCTCAAAATCTGAATGCAAATTTTGCCCAAATTCTTGATTAACCACAAAACACAGGGGATTACTGCAGGAGGTCAGTTTGAAAAAAATTTTATTAAAATTCTTTAGTTTAAAACACCCTAATGACTTCTGATCATATCTTGATTATCTTCCCTGACATATACTGGCCCTTGTCTTCCTCTTTGAGATATCCTTCACTCCTTCTCCACAAATTAACCAATTTGGCTTTTTATTCTTCCAGCATACCAAGTATATCCTTACTTAAGAATCTAAAAAAATCATATAATTTATTGTCTCAATAGGACTATTTTTGAGAGCAAGAGGAGATTTTATAAATAACCAGGGTAATGGGTGTAAACTAGGACTCTGCCAAATGAGAAACTGGAATTAGACTCCCACATAAAGCAAAGATCCTGAAAGGTTCCAACCTCAGCAAAAGGGTGAACTAGATAAAATTAATTAGACGAAACCAATCCACAACACAAACACTCAAAACAGAAGGTTGAGGAGAGAGGGGAAAGCCTTTTTTTTATCAAATTTAGCAACTTCCATCCTCATCTTTTGTGGTATGATATTTAAATGTACACTATCTGCTTGATCTGAGGTTTTCAAACTGAAAAATTAACATAAAAATTAGTTTCAGGCTGGAGATACTACAAGATTAACTTACAGAAGCAAACACAAAAACACTCTGGAGGGATATAACCACAAATAACTAAAAATAAATTCACAGCCCCCAATAACAAAACACCAAAGAAAATGATCATGAGCAGGAATCAGATGATACAACATATAACAAAATTAGACTCCCTCCAAGTACTTCATATAACATAATTATCAAATAGAGATTATGAAAAAAGTACAATTAAAATTATAAAGGTTATGGAGAAAGGTAAGAAAGAAAAATCTGATTTTAAAAGGTCTATTTGAAGCTGACCTTTTATAAAAGAGAAATAGTCTTCGGAAATTAAAGCTTAATGAATGTGTCATATAAAGTAGATTAGATATTACTGAAGAGAGACTAATGAACTGGAAGATACATATGAGGAAAAATTGCTCAGTTTATATTTCAGACAGATAAATGATGAAAATATGAAACAGAGGAAAATCTCTTATTCTTTTATAGAGGACAAAAAGAAAAGGTTCAACATATGTCTATTAAGATTCTAAATGTGAACGAATAGAGAAAATAGAAGAGGAATAATATTCAAAGTACTAATGGGTGAGTTGTCTCATAATTGTTGAAATATATGGATCCTTAGCTTTGAAACCATAATGAGCTCAATAAATTAAAGCAGATACAAGCAAGCATATAGCAGATTTAAGAATATTAAAGTGGTGAACTTCAAAACAAAATATAAATTACATGTAACCTACAATATAATATAATTTTGATTGATAGAAGTTTTCTTAAAAGGAATAATAGAGGGGCTCGGGTTGTAGCTCAGGGGAAGAGTGCTTGCCTAGCATGTGTGAGGCACTGGGTTAAATTCTCAGCATTACATATAAATAAAAAAATAAAGGTCCCTCAACAACTAAAAAAAATATTTTTTAAAAAGCAATAATGGAAGTCAAAAGACATCAAAAATACATCTTGAAATGCTAAAAGAAAAATAATGGTTAACTCAGAATGCTATAGTCAACTAGACTGTATTTTAAGAGCAAGATGAACAAGAAGCTAATTTTATTTTTTTTTAAAGAGAGAGAGAGAGAGAGAGAGAGAGAGAGAGAGAGAGAATTTTTTAATATTTATTTTTCAGTTTTTAGTGGACACAACATCTTTCTTTTATGTAGTGCTGAGGATCGAACCCAGCACCCTGTGCATGCCAGGCTAGCGCGTTACCGCTTGAGCCACATCCCCAGGACAAAGCTAATTTTAGATAAATAAAACAATACAGAGAATTTACCACTAACTGGTCCTCATTCTTACCTCAGATTTTCTCATGGCTGGGTCAATTACTGCCTTCAGGTCTAATTCAAAAGTCTCATCAGAAAGGCATTCCTTGACCATTCTATCATAAATAGTAATTTCTGTTCCCCTTATCATGTGCTACATTTCTTCTTCATAGCACTCATGAAATATATATTTATTATGTGTTTCATGCCAACAGCCTGGAAGTCCCATAAAAGTAGGGTCTTTTCTCTATTTGCTGCTATACCCTCAGCACCTAGAACTCTGACTGCTATAAAGTAGATTCTCTATACACACTTTTTGAATAAGTAAATTGTGGAATGAAGCCTTATGAAAAGAGCTACTAAAAGAATTTCTGAATGTCTCAAAACAGAAGATTGAGGAGAGAGGAGAAAGCCTTTTTATCCTTGAAAATCAAACAAAAGGAATATGCCACAAGGAAAAGCAAGTATAAGTATTGATGATGTTTTGGGTAAACTAAACAAATACTGGCTATTTACAAATAGTAATAAAGGCTATTAAACTAAGGCAGAGCAAAACTAATTAAACCAAATGAAAGGATGGAGTAAGAATATGTAAGTTAATACATTATTGAATTTTAGAGAAGAGTGAAAATATTCAGTACCATTAGACTTTAGGTCACATATGCATGTTATTATATAAGATAATCACTCAAGAATATAATATAAGTAGAATATAAAACACAAAACAACAGAGGAAACAAAGGGAAATGTAGAAAATGCTTCAATCTTATAGAAGGCAAGATAAGAAAAATAAATAAATCAGAAAAATTGGGAGGAATAATACACATAATCATATAATATAAATAAACTACTATAAATAAAATGGAAATATTATAAACAATGTACTTACATACTCTGTACAAACAAGACATAAAAATCGACAGATTGAAATCATACATTGGTTAATCTTAATTAATTAAAATAAAGGTTGTAGAGCTGTAAAATAGAGGTACAACAGACTGTAGAACAAACATTTTTGAGGGGATGAAATATAATGACATTAGCTGGAGTATTCCAAGTAGAAAATATAACAACTCTATCTTTGAATGCATTAATACCATGGAATCAAAATACATAAGACAAAACTTGAATTACATGGACAAATCAACAAACCATAGAACAAGTGAAAGATAAATGAAATCGAAAATTGAATAAAATCAAGAACCTTAACTGACAAGCATGAGCCAAAGAACACACACAGACTTACTGATTAAATACCCAGTAAAACACATAAAATTTTTGCCAAAAAAGAAAAATGGCAATGTGCTAAGCCATAAAGCCAATCTCAATAAATATGTCATACCCTAGAGACTATTTTTATTCAATATGAGGCATGAAATTAGGAATTAATAACAAAATTTTTACAAGTTAAAATTGAAAGACATACTACAAAAATGTCAAGAAACATGGAAGAGCAGGAACATCAAGTATTTTCTTCCTTTTTTTTTTTTTTTGGAGGGGGGTGCTGGGGATTGAACCAAGGGCCTTATGCATGCAAGGCAAGGACTCTACCAAATGAGCTATATCCCCAGCCCCTACCAAGTATTTTTAAGGACAGTAAAAAGGATGATCCAGATAAGAGCAAAAATTAGTGAACCAGAAAAAAAAGAAATAATACAGATGATGAAAAAAGGTAAAAACAAGATACTTTGAAAACACTAACAATACTTTAAAAAAATTCTGACAAATTTATCAAGAAAAACAGACAAGGGAGGAATAGTAATGGAAAGGGTGGTGATATATAATAGTAAAATTAGAAAAATAGTTAATGATTTTTTGTAC